CCTGGTGCCTCGTTCTCCTCCTCCTGTTGCTCTTCCCCCCCCCCTCCTCCTCCTCGTCCTCCTCCTCCTCCTCCTCGTCCTCCTCCTCCTCTTCCTCCTCCTCCTCCTCCTCTCCTCCTCCTCCTCCTCCTCCTGGTAGTCCTCCCCCTCCCCTCCTCCTCCTCCTCCTCCTCCTCCTCCTCTTCCTGGTCGTCCTCGTTCTCGTCCTCCTCGTCTTGCTCGTCCTCCTCCTCCTGGTGTTCTCTCCTCCTCCTCCTCCTCCTCCTCCTCCTCCTCCTCCTCCTCCTCCTGGTGGTCCTCGTTCTCCTCCTCCTGGTACTCTCCCCCCCCCCTCCTCCTCCTCCTCCTCGTCCTCGTCCTCCTCCTCCTCCTCCTCCTCTTCCTCCTCCTCCTCCTCCTCCTCCTCCTCCTCCTCCTCCTCCTCCTCCTGGTACTCCTCCCCCTCCCCTCCTCCTCCTCCTCCTCCTCCTCTTCCTGGTCGTCCTCCTCCTCCTGGTCGTCCTCCTCCTCCTGCTCGTCCTCCTCCTCCTCCTGCTCGTCCTTCTTCTCCTGCTCCTCCTGCTCCTCGTCCTGCTCCTGCTCGTCCTCGTCCTCCTGGTCTTGCTCGTCCTCCTCCTCGTCGTGCTCTTGCCCCTGCTGAAAATGTGGCCCAGGAGTGGGAGTTCTGGGAAGTCGAAGAGCACGAAGTTGCCTACAGTTGGCTACGGGCATTCAAAATGTGGCCCGGGAATGGAGTTCTGGGAACTCGAAGAGCACGAAGTGGCCTACAGTTGGCTCCGGGCATTCAAAATGTGGCCCGGGAATGGAGTTCTGGGAACTCGAAGAGCACGAAGTGGCCTACAGTTGGCTCCGGGCATTCAAAATGTGGCCCGGGAATGGAGTTCTGGGAACTCGAAGAGCACGAAGTGGCCTACAGTTGGCTCCGGGCATCCAAAATGTGGCCCGGGAATGGAGTTCTGGGAACTCGAAGAGCACGAAGTGTGTGACTGTTGCATCCGGTTATTCTAAAGGTGGCCCGGGAATGGCGTTCTGGGATCTCGAAGAGCACGAAGTGTGTGACTGTTGCATCCGGTTATTCAGAATGAGCCTGGGAATGGAGTTCTGGGAAGTCGAAGAGCACGAAGTGTGTGACTGTTGGTGAAAAACGAGTTCGGCACAGGCCCGCCCGGCAACTCCCAACACCTGCCCGGACCCCCCTGTGGAGTGATCTGTGACCTCTTTTGACACTACTAGAAACCTATCAGTCTTCGCTGTTAGGTAAAAAACGCCTCGGGACACAGGTCCAGAACTCTGAGAGAAACGCTGTGGAACAAAAGCACGACAACAAAATCGCGACGGAGAATGTTTGCCCATCTTCGGCCACTGGGGCCCTCGCTGGGCCCCGGAGCTGCTACATAACCGACCCAGGACGAACAAGCACGTCTCGGGAGAGGTCTAGACCTCTGAGAGACACGCTGTGGAACAATAGGCACGGTGGAGGATGTCTGGGTCGGAAGGCTGCTGAAGAGCTCTGGATCCGCTGCGGGTCCCCAACAACGGTACGGCGACGGACCGCGCGGTGGCCTCGGAATCCCCGAAAACCTCGCCGCGCGGTCCGTCACCGCACCGTTTTTGGGGACCCTGGGGCCCAGACGTCCTCCGACGTGATGCTGTGCATCCGCGGCCCCAGGAGGTCCCGCCGACCCCTTCCCTGGGAGCGCTCTGGATTCCCGGATCCACGTTTCATGGTAAACTGCTAGATTGTTTCTGTTGTTTGATTTACAACTGCTATTACTCGTACTACTACTAGCACTAGCACTATTACTATCACTGGTACGATTACTAGTACTACCCTGAATCACGAGTACTATGTTTTACCATTATTGCTAGTAGTAGTGCTAATACTGCTGTTGTGCTAGCAGTGGGGCCATTTGTACTAGCAATATAAATGATACTGCTTTGTTCGTGTTGGTGTTCTTATCACCAGGCTTACTACTATTAGTGGTATGAATAACCGCATGCCGATGATAATGAAGGCCCCCCCCCCATTCCACGCTAAAGTTGATTATCCACGGCCAAGAAGAGTTTGGTCAGGGGCGCGGGGCGCGGAGGCCGAACATGTGTATCACTGTGAAAAGTTCGCCATCGAGGTGAACTTCCTTCTTATGTTGAGATAGCAACATCAAACGAAACGAAGACGTTTTCGAGGATGTCTCAAGCGAAACCAACAATTGTTGGAGGCAGCCTCAAGCGAAACGATCAATGTTTCAAGGATGTCTCAAGCGGAACCAACAATTCTTCGAGGATGTCTCAAGCGAAGCGAGAGACTGGTCGATGAGAGACTTCCTCCTCCTCCTCCTCCTCGTCCTCCTCCTCCTCCTCCTCCTCCTCTCTCGTTTTTTTTTGTTTTGTTTTCTCTCTCTCCCTCTCTCTCTCTATATATATGTGTGTGTGTCTCTCTCTCTCTCTCTCTCTCTCTTTGTCGTTCTCTTTCTCCCCCTGGCCCCCTGACTTTTGTTTTTATCGCTGTGGTTTACGACCCACGGAAACCAAGGCACATGAGGCACCGGCACCTTACACGGGCAGATGAATATCTGAATTTCCATTGTTTGTTTACAAACTAAATGTATAGGTTTGGAACTTTGGCTTTTCTCCTCCTCCTCCTCCTCCTCCCCCTCCTCCTCCTCCTCCTCTCTCTCTCTCTCTCCTTCTGTCTGTATACATTTATATACTTCTCTCTCTCTCTTTCTCTCTCTCTCTCTCTCTCTCTCTCTCTCTCTCCAGCTGTATGCATATTTCTGTCTCTGTCTCTATATGTTTTCCTCCTTCTCCCCCTGGCACCCTGCACCTTTTTTTTTATCGTTGTGGTTTACTATTCACGAAAACCGAGGCGCGTGGGCCACCCTGCACGAGCAGATGAAAATCTTAATGTCCATTGTTTGTTTATAAATTAAGTTTAATAGGTTTGGAACTTTGGCGTTTCTTGTCCTCCTCCTCCTCCTCCTCCTTCTCCTCCTCCTCCTCCTCCTCCTCCTCACGTCTCCTTCTGTCTGTCTATCTTTCTCTATTTCTCTCCCTCTGTCTAACTATATGTATATTTATGTCTCTCTCTCTCTCTCTCTCTCTCTCTCCCATCTTTGTCTTCCTCTTTCTCCCCCTGGCACCCTGGACCTCGATCCTCGATCTTCGATCTTCGACCCTCGGACCTCGATCCTCGATGCTCGGACCTCGCCGCCGTCAATCCTCGGACCTCGGTCCTCGACTTCGGGATCTCGATCCTCGATCCTCGGAATTCGATTCTCGATGTCTCGATCCTCGGCTTCCGGTCCTCTTAACATCCTCTCTTTCTCCTCCCACATGCTGGCCTCCGGTAGGCAACATTTATAATCCCCCCGCGGCCCAAAACTTTATTATCCCAGTGGGATTATTCTCCGTGGTGCATGGTTACCCTGTAACGCCCCTCGCGGGGTAGAAACCAAGCGTCGTGTTGTCTCCTCCTCCACTCGTGTTCTTGCGCCAGACGTCCACCCCTGAGGCTCTCGGAAGTTTCCACATGGCTCGCAAATGGTCAAAAAAATGCCCCGAACATCGAAGACTAAGTTATTCGAGGTTTCGTCTTCGACTCCGTCCCCAGAGCCCCGACGTGGTGTCTGTTCATCGGGCCGGCGCCCTTGTTGTCGTGAAATTATCCTCGGAGGGCCTCTTTGTGACGCTCCCAAGAGAGGAGAGGAGGGAGGAGGGAGAAGGGAAGGAGGAGAGAGGAGGGATGAGGACGGATGGGGAGGAGGCGGATCTCGCGCACGGCGCTATCGGAGCCATCGAGGCTACGGATGAGGTAGGAGAAGAGGAGGAGGAAGAGAGGGAGGCGGAGGAAGAGGAGAAAGAGGAGGAGAAGGAGGAGGAAGAGGGGGAGGAAGGTTTTGAAGCAGGACGGATGAGGAGAAGGATGACGACGACGAGCAGGAGGAGGAGAGCGAATGACGCCCGCCCTGGAGCCTCTTGGTGTCGCCGTGGCTCTCCTAGAGCGTGCTGGGGGTCCTGTGGCCTGTTTGGGGTCTTCGGGGCCTCTTGGGGCCTCTTGGAGCCTCCTGGGCCCTCTGGAGCTCCCTGAGTGTAATTCCAAGTGGGTCCTCGGGGGGGCTCTTGAGATCTCGTGGGCTCTCCCTGGGCCGCCGTGGGCCCTCCTGGAGCCTCCGTGGGCCGTCTAAGAACTCTCTCGCGGGGGCGGAATGATGAAAACAATTTCACGCATGGGGGCCTTTCCGTTGAGAAGGGGGGCGCGGTGCAGAGTGGGTCCTCCTGGGGCCCTCCGGAGGTCTCCTAGGCACTCCCGAGGCCGCCATGGGCCCTCCTGGAGCCCCTGGGGGCCTCTAAGCTTGAGGAGCCAAACGCCTCCTACAGAGGCCTGATCGGCGAAATCCTGCGGAGTTAGGAAACGAGTCGGAAACATAGTTGAAACCGACGTTCGTTGAAAACCATAAAAAAGTTGCGTTTTGAGTTGAGCGCTTTTCAAAAATAGTTGAGTTGAGCGTTTGAGTTCAAACGCCAGCGAAAAGCTTTACGCGGCCCGACATTGCCGAATCCAGATTGATTCACACCGCAGTTCAACACGCCATATCAAACCATACCAAGGTCGCCTTCGGGCCCAGCATTGTTGGCCCACCTGGTTGTTTCAGAGGCCCTCGGAGGAACGCCATTGAAACGCGCGCGGTCGACAGCCGTGCGCCCTCCAATGCGCCCTGGGGCCCTTGATGAGGCCCTCTTGTCCTTCTCACGCTCGGGGGGGCCCAGTGGGGTCGGAGGATATCTTCGCGGGCCGCTGTTAGGGCGAGCAAACAGATAGGTGAGGGGATGACGGGTAGGGCCTAGAGGAGGTGGACGGGGAGGAGAGCAAGGAATAGGAGGAGGAGGATCAGGAAACATAGCAGCAACATGTAAGTGCACATAGGCATTCATGGGTTGCACCGTCGCCACTTTTGGCTCAAACTGTTTCGCTCGGTTGCTCACTTGTCGGCCATGACATGTCCGACGCTTGGCTTGCGTTCGCCCTAGGCGACTCTGGCAATGAAGATGAGGCGACTGACGTCGATGGCGCAATGGACGTCGATGGCCTTGCAGATCATGGCGCAGATGGCGCCACAGACGTCGATGGCGCCATGGGCGTCGATGGCGCAGATCGTGGCTCGCCGTTGCTCTTCCAGCTCGCCCCGTGGTCGCCGATTGACCGACGCAGGCTGTGGAACCCGACGGTGAGGGAGGCGTCGTCGATGGAGGGGCCTCTAAGAGGCTTCGCGATCGCCCCGCTTCGCCGCTCGTTCGACGTGATCTCACTACGACCTCGCGACGACGGCCCACGATACCACTGTGAGGCCACGGCGACAGTAGCCGACGACGTCTTGGACATTGAGCGCCCCCCGAAGATTGTTTCAAGGGCTGCTGGCTCCATGATCGTGGGTGGCGACAGGAGGCGCCATGGCGAGACCGTCGAGATGATTGCAAGCTGTCTCGTGCATTGCGACCGCTGTGCGCTCCAACTGCTCAACGAAAGCATCCGTAGAGATGCCACGTCGCTGCTGCTTTTCGTGGAGTTCTCAAGGTACGACGCTACGGAGCTCAACGTTGGACTGAAACGATATGATGCGGACTCGGCTGTGCCACTCCTGGACGCTACATCTAACACGGAGGCTCTCATGGACATGGCGCCCGACCTCGCCCTTAGCAAAGAGTTGGAGTCTGCGACACTCGCCAAGGATGGCCAGACTCCGGATCGAGCACACCTGTTTGGTTCAGAACATGGTTGGGCCGCTCTGATCAGTATTCAGGATGGCGAGCGCAGACGGCTCGTCAATTTCTTCGGCCCCACGCTGACATGGACCCAGGTTGTAGACCGCGGCACGGCTAAGTGTGCAAAGCAGGCGCTCATCGAGACGTGCGGCACGTTCATTGACGCGGACCATTACGACACACGGCTACGAATTGCAACCACAGATGCCGCATCAGCGAACTATATGACCGAGAGGGGCATGATGGCGGATCGCGACGATGGATGGGTCAACTTGCACATGCCGTGTAATGTTCACAAGGTTGCGACAGGCCACACCAAAACATACGACTTGGTAAAAGATGACATCACTGGAGCCATACAACTGTCACTGTCAGTATCATCAGCATCGGCCATGAGCTCCTTCAGGCGCGCATTCACCACCGTGGCTCGCAAACGATTGGTGGTGGAGCGAGGGAGGCCAACTGCGTTGGACGAGGAGTATCGGGAGACCATGCTGAACCTCTTCCTGACCAAGGGGCAGAAGCACGGTGAGAAGGCGCACATGGCCAAAACTATTCTGAACGGCCCGTGGCAGGACCACTCCAAATTCGTTGTGTACATCGATGGTGAAGGTCCAATCCCAGCCACGGTTCGAAGACAGGTGGAGAAGAATGTTGTACGTTGTCTGAACTTTGTTTGCTTGGGGAAGTCATTCAGCACCTACCCTCGTCATCGCTGGACGGGCGCGGACGTTTCCATTGATGAGATTGGTTTGGCTGCTTGCATACACGGGCTTCTTTTTCCAGCCTACCAGTTGTTCGTGAAGTCTGCCGCGGGCCCGAGCGACGGTAAGCACGAGGGTGACCGCGCGGCTGACAGTCGGCCTGCCGACCGACGGCCCCGCGCTGGCGGCGGGCCGCGGTCGGCTTCCCCAGCGGGCGGCGAGGTGCCCATGGGCGCCGCTGCAGCGCAGGCCGCGGAACGCGGACACGCGCCGACATGGCACCAACAGAATGAGACGGACAAGAAGAATACGTTGAAATGGGTGGAGACGGAGCCTCTCCACAAGTTGATGGCGATTCGGGTCACGATGGAGCCGTGGAGAGAGTTGATGGAGGCATACTTGTTCAGCGCAGGGGACGATTGGGAACTCCGTCAGAGATGTGCGGAAGCAACTCACCAGCTGGACCCGCAGACGTCGGACAGAAGGCAGTTCCGTTTGTCGACGTACGCTGGGCTGGTGTACGAGAAGGAGTTCTTCGAGGATTTGGACAAGGCGTGGGACTCCAGAGTGTGGGACTTCATCCCATTGCAGTCTCGTACGTTTGCATTTCGGTCAGTGTGTTTCAGGATGTTGTCAAGGTCTGGTTGCTTGGTGAACCATTATCTTGTGAAGCCTGCGGACGAGTTCCCCGTTGCCCTCTTCGCCTTGATCCTGGGTGTGGACTGCGCCAAACAACTGCAGGACCAACCGCGCTGCTTGCGGGATGTCTTCTCGGATCATATTTTGGAATCGTATCCAGGAGACGCGCTAGGCAACGAGGAATGCATCGCTAAGTTGATCACTGTGGCCCAGATAACGCACGTGGAGAACGTTAAATGCGAGCACGACCACTCATCTTTCAAGAGGCACGTGGATGCGCAGAGCGTCAACACGAACCGTGCGAATTTCGATTATGTGAACGCGCAGGTCACGTGCCAGAAGTTCAGGGTACGGTTGAAGCGTTGCGGGCGGATCGTCATCGCGACGCATCGGGCATTGAAGAGCAGTCGTGAAGCCAAAGCGAAAGGACGTGAAAGATCGGGCCAGCATTCCAAATCAGTCAAGAAAAACATGGGCGGGGGAGGGAAGTGGAGAGCTTTCGTAAGACACCATTCCATTGGCACTGCTGAGCGCCCAGACCTTCGACGGATTGGCGAGCTGTACAGGGCCCGAGACAAGACTGGCCCAGAGGAGATGCGTCTTGCAGCCGCGGCCGCGAGGGGGACCCGCAGCCACAGGGCAGGCGGCGCCTCATTCGGCCCGACTACACGGGACGTTCAGAGGTTCACAAGTAATAAGATTATGAAAGCACTTGTTGATAGGTATTGCAGCGGAGCCGAATCCACCATATCTGTCTTACCATTGCTTGGGGGCACATTCTCTCCATCGAGTTGCGACGCAGATGTTGACAAGCATCGGGCGGCCGCTCGATCCGCGGCGAAGCAGCTCATGGCGTCCAAGAATAAGAAGCTGGATGCCTCGACAGACATTCTCGACGCGTGGGACGCGCAGCACGGGGCGGATCGGCTTCGGAACCTCATCGAGTTGGGCCCTACGCTGGCACCTTGCCAGCCTGCCCTGCAGCCGCTCCCCTCGAGCGGCTTGGAGACTTATGAGGTCATGTTCGACTTGTCCAAGAAGGCGAGTGACATCGCTTCGTTTGTAATGGGGAACAGGCGAAGCTCCAACTTGGGATGCATCCTGAAGCGCGACTGGGCCAAGAAGAATCGGCTGATAAAGCACGACGACCAGCCTCAGTGGAAAGAGCCTGAACGGGGGAGCGAGTGTAACAAGAAGTGCAGAGGGTATGGCTACTGCGTGTGCTCGGAGGATGGGAAGCTCGTGGCCAGCCTGCGAAATTCTGTAATATCTGCCCTGAAGAGGATATGTCCACGAACATCTGCGAACGTGCAGCTGCTGAAGGATGCGTGCTTGGTGCTGAGGCTGCAGGGCGTCAAGCCGCCCCAATCAGCATGGCTCGACTCTGCGCTCGCGGACGACGATGGCGACCCCCCTGAGGCCTACAGTTTCAGCCACGGCGTATATTGGTTTCATATCGGCTTCTTGCTTCTGAGCCCGTACCAGCCTGAGTTCCACGAGTTGCTGCAGGAACCCGTGGACGGCGAGACCCCGTACGTCTGGCTGCGGGCGCAACGCAAGTATTTCTACGAGTGGGCTTTGTTCTCAAACTTGGATCGTTTATGTTCGTGGACTTGCAGCTTGTATCGGCTGGTGGATACGTGCGAGCACACGGGACTCTTCGATGTTACGTTGGTCCCAGTGGAGGCATTGCCATTGCCCGACGGCGAGGTCGACGCGTGGCCCGTGCGGAGGCGCAAGCGAACCAGAGGCAAAGCTGACGATGCACCGAAGCCCGCTGGGCCAAAGAAGCAGACCGCCGATGCGCTGGAGGACGACGAACCCGACGAGGGCAGCGGCTGCGACGGCAATGCAGAGGGCCACGGCGACACCGAAGGCGAGAATGAGGAGGAGGGCGCTGAATCGGCATCCGATCAGGACTCTGATGAGGGGCCCGATATGTGGGAGTTGGTGAAGCACCACCTTGGGGTTCTCGAGTCAAGCCGCGGTGACGAGAGCGGTGGACACGGCGGCGGACACGACGGCGGAGGGGGCGACGAAGGTGTTGGTGGACACGACGGCGGAGGGGGCGAAGGTGCTGTACATCCAGGGGGCGCGCCGCCCCCGCCCGAGCCAGCTCCGCCGCCACCGCCCGAGCCAGCCGAGCCCGCTGCCAGTTCGAGATCTTCTTCTAGCAGTAGTTCTTCGAGCTCATCATCCTCGAGTGGCGGCGCATCGCGTGGACCTCGCGGCCGAGTCCTCGATGTGCTGGACATCCCAGGCGGCGGCCGCATCTCCTACTACAAGAACGGCGACTTCGTTGCGGAGTGCCCGAACCCGAAGCACGGCAAGAAGTGCAGATTGACGCGCACTTCGAGACGCAATGACAAGAGACCCGCCCAAGGCAAACCATTGGGTCTCATGATGGGGTGGATTTCACTGGCGTTCTCGGGGGCCTTCCCCAATTGCCACGAACACGTGCACAACAAGATGTGCTTCCCGAACCACAAGGCCAGGATCAAGTACAGGAAGGAGTTGGAAAAAATAGCAGGCAGCAACGACGTGCTGCAGCATGAGAACCCACGCGGCAGGCCCGAGCCACCAGGCCTGCCGTGAGCTGGAGAAAAAAACGTGCGTCTGCAGTGGCGGGGGTTGGGAGGTGGAAGGGGTTGGTTAAGTTTTATGCTGGGCGAGGGGTGGAGCTGCGAGGGGGGGGGGGGGGGGGGGGGGGGGGGGGGGGGGGGGGGGGGGGGGGGGGGGGGTGGGGGGGCGGGGGGGGAGGGGGGGGGAGGGGGGGGATGGGGAAGGGGGGGGGGGCGATTGGTATACGTAGCACCCCGCAATTGCGGATAAGAGCGAGGGGGCGGGCGCGGAGTGGGTCGCAGGGCGTGTCGTCGCGGGTGGCTCGCGGGTGGGCCGCGCGGTGGGTCGCGGGGTGGGTCGTGGGTGGGTCGCGGGTGGGTCGCGGGTGGGTCGCGGGGCGGGTCGCGGGGTGGGTCGCGGGTGGGTCGCGGGTGGGTCGCGGGTGGGTCGCGGGCGGGGGTCGCGGGGGGGACGACGACAGCAAAACAACAACAAGCAGCAGCAGCAGCAGAATCCTCACCGCGGACCCCCACTTCAGCCGCGCACCCAGGGACAGTGAATGACAGTTCGGGCCCCCTCGCTCTGATAAGGTACGGGCAATCCCAATGCGTGCCGCCAGTGTGGCGCAGGGGGGGGGCGCGTACGCTTCGGGGCCTCATGGTAGGCCAAAGGCCCTTTGGGCCGCTTGGCATCCGCTCCTTCCAGGGACGCCGTCGGCCCCGTGGGCCCGCGCGCCGAGAAAAGCGCAGCAGTTTTCCTAATGTGAGCGGGTGGTCGGATGGAGGTCCTATTGGGCATTGCGACAGAGCACGATCGAGAAGGGAGCGCCCTCCATCAAGGTATGCATCGCAGAAGTACCGAAGCGCCCGCGTGGCGCCGAATCCATTGCACAGCGTGGTTTGGGAAAGTGGCCGCCCTCCATCCTCGCAGCTGCAGGGGCGCAAGGCAATGGTGCGCCCAGCGTTGGATATCTTCCATGCCAAACGGCCGATCGTCCGTCGGGAGCCGCAGTCTGTCTTGCTCGCAGCGGGTCGCTGATAACTCCGAGTTCTGGCACGCGTGAAGCCCGCCCTCCAGTCACGCCCGCTCCGCTGACCTCGCCCCCTGCGCTGGGCAAGCAGCAGCGCCAGTCTGTTGCGTTTTCTCTGTCCTCGGTCCACGCTGGCGGGTGGGAGGCGGGCCCTTCCCGCGCCCATGGCGCGGGATGCCCTCTTCGTCGGGGGCCCAGGGCCCAGGGTGGAGTCCAGGTCATCGGCGCAACCCCCTGAACATGTGACGCCCGTTCGAAACCGAGCCCAGGTAAACGTTGCCGCGGATGCGCTGGCCGAGCGACGAAGCCGAGACTGGGGTGGATTCGTTCGCACCCTTTTTCCCCGCCCCCATCGCCCGCTCCATTCGCGGCGTGATTCGACGCCCCATCTCGTTCTTCCCTTCGTGTCATTGCTGATGGCCTCGCCCTCTCCGTCCGTAACCGTTTTGGCTCAAGGCATTATTCGGCACGCACGCGCGCGACCATATTCGAGAACCTTCTGTTGCGTTTGACGCAAGACAGCGCAATGGTGGTCGCAGATTCTGCTGGCTTGGCCAGCCCTGTCACCGAGGGCCGAGCAAGCCCAGAGGTCACAGACACGCCAGCGGAAGCCTTTCTCGGCGCCCAGAGTCAAGCCGCGGAGACGCACGATCCAGCCAGCGTGGAGGTGAAAGCCGAGTCGGACGGAGGTCCCATTGGGCCCGTGGGTCATCTTACCGTGCTCCCTCTCATTTCACAGGACTCGACGGCTGCCCCTTCGGCGGACGTCCTTGGCCGCCAGCCTACCACGCCAGAGTCCCTGACTAGAGTTGGCCTGGCCGACGAGGGCACGAGCGTTGCGGTCTCCGAGAACCCTGGCATCACGTGGGAGAAGCAGAATGTGAATATCTCCCGCGAGTTCAAGGACACGAACGACATGGGCCCCCACGAGAAAGCAGTGTTCTATCGGTTGCTGGCGGCTCACATCGGCCCTTGCCGCCCGCATCATGAGGTCAAGAAGCTGCGCTTCACTGTCAAGTACGAGGTGCAGGTGCTCGTGGCGCACATGGATGAGGACATTGAGACGGACTGAGGACGGCATTCCTTGCATGACGGGCGGCATTCCTTGCATGACGGAGTGGGCGAGTGCGGGAGTGGGTGAGGACGGCCGCGCGCGCATGGCGCGCGCGCGGCGGAGTGAGAGAGGACGGCCGCGCGCAGGCCATGCAACGGAAGGTGCGTGCGAAAACACAAGTCCTGAACATGTGCGACGCTTCGCGCGCTCCGCCATCCCAACCTGGGGCGATGCCTAGGCGAGTTGCTTTGATCCGAGGAGTTGAAAAACTGCAACTGGACGAATGAGGGGGGATGATGAGCAGGACTGGGGGAGGGGTGATTTGAGCACGAGGCTGGGGGGGGGGGGGGCGGGGGGGCGCACCAGGAAACGAAATGGCATTCACCCTTACTGGAAGGGTGGCGGGAAAATGTTACCGCCGACGCTCACATCGTTATTGGCTGTGTTGCAGTTTGCTGCGTCGCATTTTGTCACCCTCGCCCTGGGCGGCCAAATGCAACACAGCAAAATACAACGCAGCGAAAATGGGGCACGCGCCGAAGTAAACACAGGGAGGAAGTAGATACCCACCCCCCTCCAGTCACGGGGTGGCGCGTTGGAGGGCTTCGGCCAAAGGGGGGTGAGGCGAGGGCTTTCGTTCGCATTGTCCCACCGCTGGGTGCTCTAGCTCGCGCGTCGGGGCTCCTCGATGCGCTTTGGTCACCGCTGTGCGTTTTGGAGTTCTTGGGTTCTTGGGGGCGCATTGAACCTTCGGGCGCATCGCGGAGGTGTCTTGGGCCATCTTGGAACAATCTCGGATCTGCCAGGGCCAGTCGGGAAGCGATAGTGTCATGATGCAGCGCTCTGCTTTCTTTCAGTTTCGGGCGGGGGGGTGCGTTTGTTTGGCTTCCGTGGGGGCCTCCGCGGCCATTCGGAGGAGTCTCGTGAGGGCCTCGGGCATCTGGGACCATTTCTGACGCAATATTTAACCGCGGTGGGCTACTCTGAGCCACCGTGGATGTCGCCACGAGGCCATCTGGGCTTTCATAGGGTCACGCACGTCCATATTGGATGCCCCAACCCTTCAATCACCCCCCGCGCACTGCCTGGGCCCAGCGAGGGGCGGCACGAGGGCCCACCGCGCCCCTCCCCAAAGGGGGGCGGGGCGGGGGTTGGAAGGGGAGCTGACCCAGCAAGCCTTTGCCCAGAGGGCTGGCGGATTTCAGTCCCTCGCTTGGGGCTTCCTCATACGGCGCGTCGCTGACATGTAAACCTCTGGACAGCTACACGGATGGAGGTCGGCCAACGTTTAACACTTGCTTCATGCTGATTTTACATATGGTTGAATTTCTTGATCGCGCGCATCCCCCGTCCACCCCACATCGGACGATGGATGACAACAGCGCTCACACAAAATGAGTTGCAGCCTTACGTAGCATCCCGCAATTGCGGATAAGAGTGAGGGGGCGGGCGCGGGGCGGGTCGCAGGGTGCGTCGTCGCGGGTGGGTCGCGGGTGGGTCGCAGGGTGGGTCGCGGGGTGGGTCGCGGCTGGGTCGCGGGCGGGTCGCGGGGTGGGTCGCGGGGTGGGTCGCGGGGTGGGTCGCGGGTGGGTCGCGGGCGCGTCGCGGGCAGGGGTCGCGGGGGGGGAGGGGGGGGGGGGGCGACGACAACAAAACAACAAGCAGCAGCAGCAGCAGCAGAATCCTCACCGCGGATCCCCACTTCAGCCACGCACCCAGGGACAGTGAATGACCGTTCGGGCCACCGCGCTCTGACTAGTGGGCTTACGGTGCGCTCATTTTTAACTGATTGACCTTCCCAGTGAAAGGGACATGCGACGAGCGGGCTTCAAGCGCGGGAAGGCGTTGTGGCGTCCTTGATGCGTTGGGTTAGCGTTGGCCCTGCATCGTGACATTCCTCCTACGCCTCCCCCTTGTTTCCTCATCCTCCGCTTGCCCCCCCGCTGCCCCTTCTTATTATCCTGCTACTCCTTATCCACGCCCTCTTCCTACCACCGCCATCCGTTGCCATTTTGGGCCGGACAGTGTTAGTCTACGCCGTAAGTTTCTAAAGGCGGCAGAATACCACTGCAGCTCGGCATGCGCCGATTCCACTGCGAACCAGCGGTAACCAATGCTATACGAGATACCGCTGGTAAGAACGTGTTTGTGCATCGGGCCGCTTTCCAATGCGTTGTGTAGGGGAAGGCCGTCAGTTTGGCGTGCCAGATGCGCTGGGCAGAGCCAAGCGGCATGTGTGGGCATGCAGGCAGACGCGCGCGATACCGCAGCCAGCCGCGCGCAGCAGCGACCCACTTTACACAACGGCATCGCACGGCTTAGCATTGCGTTGCCCTCTGGCCTGACCAAGTCCCCAACGCGATCGGCCTTCCCGCATCGACAGGATGCGCGTCCCTGGCGTTCACAACGCGTCCCGTTTGAAGGGGGGCGTTTTGCGGCGCGGCGCAACTGGCCCGTGGAGTTCCGCCAATGCCAGCCAACGGGGTGAGGTGTCGGCACGCCCGCCCTCAGAGCAATTGCTCGCGCGCCCGCGGCGCGATCTGCCGCGTCCGTAGCGACGTACCGCGTGGCCGTTTCGTTCGGATGCCCGCGCAGCGCTTCGCCCTGGTGCCCGCGGCGCGCGCACCCGCGCCGCGTCGATCAAGGTCCGCGCGTCCGCGGCGCACCTCGACGGTCCATCGCGCATCGTGGCTCGTGGCTCTGCCAGCCCGCGGCGCGCCCGCTCGGCACCCGCTTGCCCGCTCGGGCGCGCGTTGCTAGGGCTGTGCGTCGGACATAGTGAAACCGCTTCGTTGCGGCGCCGCTGGGCGCGAGTCGACTCGTGAAGCGGTTTCGCTACGAAATCGCGCGCGCCAGAACCGTCCGAAATGCTCGACTCGTGTTCCGACTCTCCCGACTATGGTTCCGACTCTCCCGACTCGTTTTCGACTCTGTTTCCGACTCTCCCGA